AGCACAACTGGGAAAACTAACAGACTCACCATCTCACTCATGAATGAGCCATCAAGAGAATTAGAAAAGCAGCTAGCAAAGAAGTTAGCAAAAGGAGTTAAAGAGCTAACAGAAGACTTAAGGAACCAGCAAAAGAGTATAATGACCCCTAAGCCCACTCCCCATTTAATTACCTAGCATGATATACTATGGAAATAAATACTCCTTCAGTCAGTTTGGGTTGGCTGTCTGAACTGTGTGTCCCCCACACACTGCTTGTAGGGAGAAAGTTGGGAACGCAGCTGCAGTTTCAGAAGCTGAGAAAGACCTTGAATTTGGTGCAAGCACTCCGCAGCACCAGCTAAGAAGACACATTATCAATACTTTTCTCAGGGAAGAGTTCCATAGGACTAGGGACTCAGTCTTTCATCTGCCAAAATGCACACTGTGTGAGAAGGAGATGGCATATGTTCATCTTCTAGAGCTTCTTATTCATAATAGTATGTCCACCATGAAATTAGGTCACATGTCCCATAATATCCTCTTTTCTGAGGAGATCTACAGAGTATGTTCTGCACCAGAGAACAAAATTATTCAAGTGTCCTCGCCCATGGAATTGACTCATATGCAGGCAGATAATGCTTGAATTTTCAGCAAGCTTTACAGACACAACACATTATGACAGATTCTATATGCTGATAAAATGTGCTTTTCTACTGACACTTCTGTAAAAAACTTTTGAAGACATTCATGAAATCAGGCTTTTACTTTGCAAAGCACTACCTTGACTTTGGTTTGATACATGATCTTCGTTTTTATCTCTTAAATCACTCTTCCGTTTTGAAGGACTAGACCCCATTTCACTGGTAGACTCATTCGAAGTCAAAGGTCTTTTAAGTAGTGGTCTCGACTGATCCACAATATTGTACAAATGAGACTGATTTTTCTTTTTTTCATTGATGTGACAGCACATCAAGATGGACTCTTCCACTGTAGTAAGAACTTCAGCGTTATATTGAGTGGCTAGCTTATGCTGAGTGATCTGTCTCTGATCAGCAAACAGTTTATCACAGTTCTCACAGTGACTTTTTGTCTTAAATATCTCTGCAACTTGGGAGATGCTCTTCTTTGACATTGCCATGGACCCAGAATTATGACAATGTGTTCTGAAATGTGCAGTTAATTCCATATGCGAGCGCAGTATCTGGTAGCAGGATATACACATCACTTGGAAGGGTATCTCTTTGCATAGAGATATCAGAATGTTCTTTGCATAGGATGGAAAAGGTAATGGAAGTCCAGCCTTCATTTCATCACTCAATTTAGAAACCGGGAGGAAGTGGTTCTTTCCTGACATACACTACAAGCATTCATCTCTCGGTGAAAAGGAGGAAATAGTTTGGGCATGCAAAACGTGGAATATGCTGCAGAAGGAGATCTTTGTTATGTCCATCGTTTTCATTTAGCTTAGATAAAAAATGATCACACTGCTGGGAGGTTGAAAATGTTTCACAGCATATCACACAGGCGACTGCATTATTTGGGGCTCTGTGTGACTGTTGGGTCACAAAGAGAATGATCAAACCTTTGAAGGTGACCTAGGAGATGTCCTTTATCAAACTCTCTTGCAATGCATCACAGCACGAGATATGGGACTGCTGTTGACTTGCATCTGACCTGCCCTCTTGTAAACACCCTTTTTTCCACTCTTAACAGTGCCTGGTTTGAGACCTGGTGTTTTTAACCACTGGTCCACACATATCTTGCAGCCTCTGTGTCACTGTGTTCCCAACTAAATTCTAGTTCATGCAGCCCATGAGCATATTGGGAATCAATTTTCTCCTTAAAGGCTTTGCTTTTCTCTTCTTTTTGCTGCTTCTCTACTTCTACATGGTGTGCCAGACAATCCAAAGTTGACACAACTTCTTTCTGATAGTCGATGTAATCTTTATGCTTAATATTTTCATGAACAAAAGAACCGCTGTTAGATTCTTCGTCCTCACTACTGTCAAGATCCATGCATTCAACTACAGGTCTCAAAGGTCCTTCTTCAATGAACTCAACCTCATCTTCACTTTCAGAATCTGGCGATTTACTCTCATAGATGTTGATAGAGCTGTGAGACTCCATGATGTTTCCTCATCCACAGAGACACCACAGCCCCACAACTCACGGCCCCCAGGCCACCCTGCCACCACAGCTTGGAGGGGCTGGTGGCTGAGGAAGCAGCGGTTGAAGCAACGGCAGCCTCACCAGGCATCTTGTCCTCGCTTGGCCACCCCACGGGGGCCCACCAAAGGCACTCAATCGCTCTCCCTCAGCTAAGCAGAGAGACGAAGTACAATGAAAGGCTCATCGGTTGAGATAAGGACAGGGAGATCACTCAGCAATTACTAGCACAGGCAAAACAGACACAACTTGAAGAAACTAGTTTAATGTATTATCGATGACAGTCAAAGTAGGATAATGAGAAAATAAAAACTAAATCTTAAAACACCTTTCCTCGCCTCCTCCCTTTTTTCCTGAGCTTAACTTTACTCTGAAGCTCTCTACCTCCTCCCCACCAGCATCACAAAGGTATGGGGAATGGGGGTTGTGGTCAATCCATCACACATTATCTCTGCTGCTCCTTCCACCTCATGGGGGAAGACTCCTCACACTCTTCTCTTCACCCCACCTGGAGTACTGCGTCCAACTGTGGAGCCCTCAATATCTGAAGGATATTGACCACTTGGTCAATAGTCCAGAAGATGGCCACAAAGATGATCAGAGGGCTGGAGCACCTCTCCTATGACGAAAGGCTGCAAGAATTGGGCTTGTTCAGCCTGGAGAAGAGGAGGCTCCGAGGAGACCTTATTGCAGCTTTCCAGTATCTGAAGGGGTCCTACAAGGGTGCTGGGAGAGGACTTTTTACAAGAGCCTGTAGTGATAGGACAAGGGGTAACGGGTATAAATCGAAAACAGGGAGATTTAGATTAGATATCAGGAAGAAATTCTTCACAGAGAGGGTGGTGAGGCACTGGGACAGGTTGCCCAGAGATGTTGTGGATGCCCCCTCCCTGGAAGTGTCCAAGGCCAGGCTGGATGAGGCTGTGAGCAACCTGGTCTAGTGGAAGGGGTCCCTGCCCATGGCAGGGGGGTTGGAACTAGATGATCTTTCAAGTCCCTTCCAACCCTAACCATTCTATGATTCTATGCTTCTATGATTCTCCTGCTCCAGCATTGGGTCGCTCCCACAGCAGACAGTCCTCCATGAACTTCTCCAATGCAAGCCCTTCCCAGGAGCAACAGTTCATGAGCTGCTCCAATGTGAGTCCCTTCCACGGGGTGCAGTCTTTCAGGAACAACTGCTCCAGCACGGGTTGATGCAGGCAAGAATTATGGCAACCATGCCTTTTTTTTTTCTGATGTCCCCACTTACCTTCCAGATACCATTGTCCTAAGCCACTGCCTGGAGGAGCAGTTCTTCTCTGACACCATTGCAAACCATCAAATGTGTGGATGTCAGTGAGGCAGCTGACATGATTCCAGGTGCTGCAAGAGAGACCGGGCCCTTTGCATGGAGATGATGCCTGTCTCTGCTCCCTTGTCACCACATGCTGCCACCCGTTTGCCTTGAGCCACCCTCAGACTACCCTTTGGCTATGGCAAGGCTGACAAGATCCAAGTGCTCCTCTGCAGCAATAGTTAGGAAATGGCGAATGGTAGGCCTAGGACCTCTCATGTGATTTTGAAGCAAAGTTCCTCTTCTGAATTTCTGCTGAGGCTTCTACTGGGTCTGCTGTGTGAAAGGCTCAGGAAGGTCTAGTACTGATGTGTCTAGAGCTGGGCAAGATGATGACATGTCTGTTGCTCCCTCACTACCAAAGATTCTGTCAATAGGAGTCTCAGAAATGGGATACATCAACATCCCTGTTTTAGCCCTCCTGAAAATCCCTGAGGGAGAGCTTTAAGCAGTTTGTGACAGAAGGGCTTCTTGGTATGCAGAAATCAAACCTGACAGCGGTGAAGATGGAGACACCAAGCTTCTTGTGACCTGCAGACATGCAGATGTCCTGGATCTCCCATCCCCACAGATTCTCTGTGTCTACCTGCTGGAGAGTAGTACCACAGCCCTGTGCCAGTACAGCAAAGGTACCCATTCCCATTATCTCCCATCCCTCTAACTAGGACTTTTCTCTGCTTCACCTTTGTTCCTCAGAAGATGGCCTTTAACAAATGTTTTACATATTTCTTTATTCATCCTCTAAAAGGGGCTGTACTGCCTCCTTTGTGGCTTACCCTGCATCAATGTGCATGCCTGGAATCCTGCAAAGGCTCCTGTGTAGTCCAGGTGATCCAACACAGAGCTTGCTAATGGGTCGTCTTAGGCATCTCCACTACAGCTGTTTCCTAGGAGTTCTCCCACTAGACAGGTCTGTACTGCCAAGTCTTAAAAACTCCTTTAAAAAGACAGTTTTTTACAGACTACAATGAAGGACTTTTCTTGCTGACTTTTTCTTCTAAATGCCTCATATTCATGTGCATGGGGAGGGATCCCCCATGCTGCCGTGGGGGTGAATCCTGGCAGGTGGCAAGATCAGGGAGCTGTTCAGCTGCAGGAGAGAGAGATGGGAGGGAGCCTGTGGGTAACCCTACAATGCACAGTAAGCAAGCAAACGCAAGCACTTAACCTCTGGCCATGGCTCAGGGGCTTGTTCAGTCTCCAGCTTTGCTTTGGCTCACTTCAACAGAAATATGATATAAAGGGAATTAATCCTGTGCAGTGTGGGTGCAAGTCAGTCTGTGCCATTTGACACCGGACACAGGAATCAGTCTCTGACCAACTTTTACTTAGCACTGTAGACAGTATTTGTGCTGATGGCTTCAAAAATGAGACGAACCTCTAACCACATCCTTCGTTGTTTGCTCCAGGACATGAAAGCTATGTTTCCATAGTACTTGCTCTCTTAGGTGAGTCTGTGTGAAAGCAGTCCCTATACACCTCTCAGCTGTGGGGTCCTACCACATGAGTTTTCCAACTACTCTCACTGCATAACCCAAGGCTGGTACCCAGGCAGCCTATTTCAAAACCATGCTGCAAAAACTTTCTTATTCATGTCAGTTTCCTATGCTACATTTCTTTGCAAATACAGAGGAACATCAGAAGAGAAGACATCTCATCCCTCCTACTAATCTTTCACTATACCTATGATACAAAGTGGACATTTCCTTATGGAAGTGTGGGCTATTTATTGGGCTGCTCCCACCACGTATGTCCATTTTGCTGGAAGATGAGTATCTGCTCTATATGGACAACATCTGAGAACAACAAAGCTTCACTCTGTGCTCCAGTCAGATTGGAGCCCTGCTCCATATTTACTTTTCTTCTTCCTTCCTTGCAAACTGGAAAACAATGGGATCTGCCCACTTCTTGTTTTTTGCTCATCCCAGTAAGGAGAACTGAATCAACACCAGATTTTTCTTGCAAAAGAATTGAGAAGTAATCCTTAGCCAGAAGGTACCCCTAGAGCTGACAACAGGAGCCCCTAGAAGAAAGTACTGCTTGGGAAGCAGTATGTCTTGAAGCACCTACTCTGTAAACACAGAAACAACCGTCAGCCAGTATCCTCAAACCCCATTTTCATTTCTGAGAAGAAATATACTTCATTTTGTTCTCAGAATCTGTAGTAAGGAAGTGCATCCTTCTGTCCAAGGGTGTGTGCGAAGCAGTGTCCCTGAAACTCCCTGTGTGATATGATTTTAGTTAGGAAGTCGTAAAGTTTGTTCTCAAGCCCACAAGACTGAGTCTTGTCCCCAGCGCACTTTGTTGCATGCCTCCAGACCATAAAGGTTGTTTTTTGTTCATCTTCCAGGGCTTTTTTGATGGGGAAGCAAATTCTGAAAGAACATTCAAAAGTGATACAAACCATCTGGAAGTCCCAGAAACTCATATGAAGTCAAAAAAAGAGCACTTAGAATTCAGCGATATATGTTCACGTTGGGAAAACAAAACCTAAAGCAAATATACTTCAGTATTTCATCATAAGCCTTGAAGTTATTCCTAGTCCTCCAGACCCACTTGGATGACCTGCTGTCAGGTGCTCTTTGAACTTTCCATTCCCCCTCTTTGCCCTGTTACAGATTTTTGCTGTCATGACAGACTCTTTGTGGACAAGAAGGCATCTATTTCTAAGGCCAACAGTGGAAATACAGTGTGGGAAGCATGAGAGGATACTTCTGGAAAGGTGGGGATGGACACCCAGGTGGATGAAACTGATGGCAGAACAATCTGTTCCAAACAGGTACTCAGTTTATGACAGGCAAACTCTGCTTTAAAGACAAATGCAAGATTGCTGTCAGCATCCCTATTTCCAGGAAAGAAGATGGAATCCTCAGTCTGTGACAGGCTTATAAGTGGCCAGGGAAAAAATGAAAGGAGACAGTTTGGCTGAGGAGGGGCAGGTGAGTTCCTCATAGAAGGGTTTCATCCATCTGAGGAAGGGGCAGAACTTCTGGATATATAGACCAAGATGTGTGTGCTTAGTGTAGACAGTGCTGGTTTTAATTCTGCTGTCTGAACATAGATGGTGTCCCAGAATGCCCCTCTATCCAGACAAATGATGCCAAAAGTAATGATGGGCTGTGCAATGATAACCAATGGCTTACTTTTTCATCTAGGAGCATTCTGTGTCTGAGTCTTGTGAGAAGATACCCTTAAGGTCCTTCACAAATCCTGCTACATAGATAAGGCTGGATGACAGACATGCTGTTATTGAACTTGTCCTTGAATTCTTGTCTTCTGTCCATTGTCTTCTGTCCATTTGACTGGAAGCATATCGTGGTGTTAGCAGACATATTCAGGACTTGTTAAAGACATCATGGGGACTGTGCTTTTTAGGTAAGGCCTCATGGCCACTGGGCACAGGGAATCCATTCTGCCAGCCTCAACTCATGTGAATACTGTGCCTGATGACATCCCTGTCTGCAATGTGAAGGAGACGAAAAGAGGACTACCAGCTTCACCCCAGCTGAGAGCTCTGGAGTTTTAACATCCATGGGCACTGGCATGTACCAGGTTACTTGGTCATAGTGGCCAGGAAGGAGACTCTGGTCATCAAGAGCCTGCATGCTGAGAAACAGATTTCACTCTTAGACTTCCTGGAGTGAGTTTAAAATGTCAATAAAAATTATGTTTATGGTCAATAACCAGCAAGGAAAAGAATGCTAAGTGAAAACACGGGATCTTGGTACAAGAACAGACATTATAACAGCTGGCTACCTTGTCTATCTCTCATTAACACATCTGTAGTGGTTTTTTCTCACCCTGACCAGATTTCCAATGGTGTGGCAGTGACTTTCTGTTCTTCAGAGGTCTGTATCAGGGAGTAGAAGCAGGCTGCTCTGCAAGGGAAGATTAGCCAGGAACTGAAGTTGACAGCAAGCCAGGCATGAGGCAGGATGCTCACCAAAGGGTACAGTCCCATAGTACCTGAACAAGAAGAACAAAATGGGTGACTGCAGCCTGGTTAAGTTAGCACTCCAGACAATCCAGACAAGACCACAGTAAGATGATGTGTCCAAGATGAAGCCATCAATTCAAGACAGCACATCAGTGTCAGTATCAGCGAAGTTCATGGCCAGACCCAAGTGTGGCTGCCATATAGCTCTAGCAGAGACCACAGGCAAATGTCTGTGCTCCTCAGCAACTCTTGAACAAAGAATGAGCAGTCTCTGGCCAGACTTATCTGCTCTTCCTCGTGCAGTTCTTGCCACAGCAGTCTGACGCAAACAAAGCCCAGTGAGAAGGGCAAGAGATTGCAGAGCTTGTTGGTGTACTAAGGACCTAACAGTTTGGACATTAATGATCTTGGGATTCTTCATAAACACCAGATAGATACCATGAGACAAAAATAGCATGTGTGTCAATGTCATAATGAGGATTATGTGTTTAAACTGTTGTAATTAGTTAGTGCTCTGCAACTTGTTCCATTTGCCAAGAATGAGTCAAGTAGCCACACTTTGATTAACAGCAGCTTTATTTCCCTAAATTAATCATTCTAGAGTGAATGAGAGTGGGCAGAACTACCAGCAATGGTCATGCATAACCTGAAACAAAAAGAAACTCAACAGAGGAAACAGGAAGTCCTGTAATTTGCATCCTATGGAAGATGGTCTTTCAAGAGCTTCTGCCCATATAGTTCTCAAGTTTTGACCGAATAAGGAAACCCCGAGCAGTGCTTGTCTCAAAGACAGAGCGGGTGTCATTTTTTATTCACAGAACTACCGCTTCTAAACACTACTTCTGTTGATTTTATAGTGAGGGTGCAATTTCTCCCAGGGAGATGGACGAGCTACAAATTTAGGGATTTTCTTTGCCTTTTTCTCTTCCAAAGTGGTTAATAAAATGACCAATGTTCCACATTTTCACATTGCTTTGTCATGTGAGAAACAGCCATTTTTCATACTGTTCTGCCTGTACCAGCGATGTTGGTGCCATAGAAAAGACAATACCAATGATGACATCAGAAGCGCAATCGTCTTTCATATAAGGTCACTGTCACAATTTTCAAATTTTATTGGAGGTTTTGGTTCTTTCAGGTTTGAGATCAATCTGTTGATAATGTCTAAAAAGGTGAACGATATTTCTATTGGTTCCTTTACGTAGTTCATGCTAGCATGTGAATCTATATATTTCCTCCTTTGTAGTCATTTGTGAGACACAGAGAAGCCCACGAAGAATTTGGTCTAGGCACTTTCTAACAGAGAGTGAAGTTTCATCTGTCTGCAATCCGGATGGCAGGAAAAGGACATCTCTCTATTCCAGTGTTTTGGCTGCTTCTCCTCTTCATTCAGGTCTCCATGGGTAAGTACATACTTTATTTCACAGAAGGCAGTGAGATGATAGGAAAAGAATGTAAATTCAATACCAATAGGTTGGTATTCCATCAGCCTGCAAGGCAAAGTGTCAAGAAGATGTTTAAATACATTTCTGTCCTTGATTCAGTCTCCTCGATGATCCTGAGAGAAAGAAAGGTAAACCATTCGTAAAAGTTTCGTATTTTACTCAGACATCAGTGACTGGCCATTCTCATAGGAATTCTGGTCGAAGTTTAGTAAACAGCCAAGCTGCAATGGAAACCAGTTGGGTATTCGTACTACTGTCTTACCTCCCTTGCTGAGCTCTGTGTAGATAGAATTAATAACTCCAGGGCTTCATTCAACACCAGTTAAAATGATGTTGCTGTGCTCTGTGTCCCCAGCGGAGTTTGGATGGGTATCATACCATCTTCCCAGTTGTTCCTGAAGTTTATCACTATTTGTCTCTCTGCCCTTCTAGAGCTATGTGTACATGTTTGAAGCTGATGGTGTGAGACAGATTTTGGAATCCTTGGTTTTGCCTCCGTACACATGGAGGTGGCACTGTGGGATTGTAACGGTGGTCACATCCCCATGTGGTGAGAACAAGACTTGACAGTTGAGACTTTGATGTAGCACGGCCCGAGCCTTAAAGGTTCTCACCAGTTGTGTGGGTGCAGTCACAATTCAAGTGGATGGGAAGAGGAGGCACAGGCTTTTCTGTGCAAAGGAGTGTGAAGAACACTATTAAACATTTGCATTTAGACATCTTGTAGCAATGTTTGAGTGTCGGCTGAGCAGTACTTTAGAAATGAGAGTGAGTTTTCTGCCCACTTATTTTTAATAACAGGGAATAGTAACAGAGTGACTGACGGGCAGATGCAGACAAGAGTAGCTTTACCCTGGCAGCATCAGCAGCAGCCCTTGACCCACTTCTCTGCCCTGGCAGTACGTGCACCCTCCACGCTGCCACAGCCCCCTGCTGTTCCCCAGGACGGGTGCACAAGCAGCGTGGGAGGCACAGCCCTCAGGGAGCGACCTTGCAACCTGCGACAGCAGCAGTGTGCTGAAAACCTCCGCTTCGGGTCCGGGCACAGGGATGCACGGCTCACTCCCAGACCTGCAGTGCAAGGTCTTCCTCTGAACCAAAACCTGGTGCCACCTTATGCAAGCAGAACCTCACGCTGTGACTGGTAGCACTGAATTCAGTGAAGGCACTTGTGGGACATGCTGTGGAGTGTGAGGAAGTACAAAAAAGTGAGAATGTAGGTATCATAAAAAACTCACAAAGGATTGATTACAGTAAATTATAGTTTTGATAAGGGAATATTTAAATCTGTTGATTGGGTTATGCCTACCTCTGCATCCAGCCTTGCATGATGTTACATTTTGAAAACATCAGATGTTGGTTTATCTAAAAATTCAGGTGCAGAGAGATCAATCAGTCAAATGAGGAGCTGTTTGGTTTACTCCTGGATATGGCTAATGGAAATAGCTTATCTGTTTCCTTTAACAATGTCTCATGAATTTAACTTTTCTTAGAAGTTATAGCTCTTTTAAGTGTTTATATATTTTTAGCTGAGAAAACTCTTTTTTTTAACTACGTTATTCAAATAAACTGTGGATTGTTGTCCAGAACACCTTTCAGAAGAGTCTTAAAAGACTTACTACAGAAAGATGATACTCCTTCTGAGACAATATGTTGCAAGTACAAAGGGATTTTGTAGTTATCAGAGGCTTGTTCTATGTATGTGAGAGACTTTCTTACTCAGGAAATTTGAGGAGAGAGGACAATTTGCAGTAAAAATATTTTTTTGTCAGTCACTTGAATAATCTTCCTTAAACTTTTTGTGTTTCCCAGTCTAAATGATAGGCAGGAAGTTTTGAGGAAGTTTAGCAGGGTTAGCAAAGAGGTAAAACCTTTGCCTATGTATGAGTTGATCATGTGTCAAAGCTATATTGTCTGTGTCTTTTGAAGCAGGGAAGATTCAGGCTACAGAACACATGGAGATGGAGGCAAAATTGCCTTTTAGTTGACTACTGCTAGCAGTTTACTCTGGAATGAAAAATTAAACAATGGTTAGTTACTGTAGGAAGTGGCTGCATTAGCATCAGTTCATGGGTTAAGACTGACATAATAGAGGAATTAGATTTGTTTTCAAATGCAAAGAAAAATAATATGTTCGTGTTTCTGTGCTGGATTCAGCCAGGAAAGGGTTAAATCTCTTTACCGTGGCTGCTAGAAATCTCAAATGACAGTAAGCAATGTGATATGCAGGAGCACCTCTCTCTTCTGAGGAAAAGAGAGAAAGTGTTCTTTTCCATAACAAATAGTTTTGAAAACTCTTACTGGAAAATCCAAGCTTCTTCATGCAATTTAATTATCTTCTATTGCTTATCAAGTGCCACCATTGATAAGAGATGATCTCTGAGAGGTGTCTTTCTGGACTATTTGAAGACATGCACACCGGAGCTGTTTCCTCTTCACATCACAGCGCAGAGCTGGGTCATAATGAGTACTCCATGTTTCTCTTGGTATCTGGCCAGATTCTGATACCTTCCTTTCTTCCAGTGCAGTCTTACTTGCTAAGAATCGTGGCTGTCTTAGCTCACTGTGTCACCTCTGGAGAGGTGACTCCTATGAGAGTTAGTATGGGGGTACAGCAAGGGCCAGCTGCCCCAGGGCAGGGGCCTCACCAGCCAGGGTCCAGCCCCACAGTTCCCAAGAAAGGCAAGCAGGGCAGACCTAGGGGAGGTAGTTGGGTTCAAGTCTTGTTACAAACTGGCCTCATATCGTCAGGCAAGCTCATGGTGATGAAACAGGTCCAAGGTCAAGGTGAGAACTCAGTCTGTGGCTCAGAGTGCAAATCAACAGGTCCCATGGCCGGACACAGCTGTCAAGGCCTTTGTGAATCACAAAGCATGGGCAATTACTCTGCATTTCCCAGCTCTGATAGATCATAAGAAGAAAAAACTCACCTCTCATTAGAAATAACGTGCATTTTAGCAGTGCAGTTAGCTCAAACTTGCAAATACAGACACAATTCCCTGCAAAAAACTTTAAGTTGGACTATTTGGAAAGATTAACTGACTAAGTCTGATTTAAGTGTAAATTAAGAGTAATAGTAATCCCATTAACCATCTGCAACAGATAATTGCGATTATCATATAGAATGGTTTGGGTTGGAATGGACCTTAAAGATCATCTAGTTCCAACCCCACTGCCATGGGCAGGGACACCTTCCACTAGACCAGGTTGCTCCAAGCCTCATCCAGCCTGGCCTTGGACACTTCCAGGGATGGGGCATCCACAGCTTCTCTGAGCAACCTGTTCTAGTGCCTCACTACCCTTCAATTCAATTCTTCAATTCGTGAAGAATTTCTGTGTCTTTCAGTTTAAAACCACTAGCCCTTCTCCTATTACTACATGGCCTTGTAAGAAGTCCCTCGCCAGCTTTCTTGTAGATCCCCTTTAGGCACTGGAAGGCTACTTCAAGATCACCCTGGAGCCTTCTATTCTCCAGGCTGAACAATTCAACCCTCTCAGCCTGTCCGTGTGTTGGGGGCTCCAGAGCTGAATGCAGTACTCCAGGTAGGGTCTCACAACAGCAGAGTACAGGGGGAGAATCACCTCCTTTGACTTTGCCAGTGAACATTGCTGGCTCATGTTGAGCTTCTTGTCAACCAAAGCCACCAAGCGCTCCTCAGGGCTCCTCTCAATTTGTTCTCTGCCCAGCCTGCATTTGAGCTTGGGATTGCCCCGACCCAGGTGCAGGACCTTGCACTTGACCTTGTTGAACTCCATGAGGTTGGCATGGTCCCACCTCTCCAGCCTGTCCAGGTCCCTCTGGATGCCATCCCTTCCCTCCAGCGTGTGAACCACGCCACACAGCTTGGTGTCATCAGCAAACTTGCTGAGGGCGCACTCAATCCCACTGTCTGTGTTCCGACAAAGATGTTGAACAGCAACAGTCACAGTACTGACCTCCAAGTATGCCACTCGTCAATGGTTCCCACTCAGACATTGAGCCATTGACCACAACTCTTTCAGTGCAACCATTCAGCCAATTCCTTATCCACTGAGTGATACATCCAGCAAACCCATGTCTCGCCAATTTAGAGACAAGGATGTCATGTGGGACAGTGTATTTAAATGCTTTGCATTTATTTCCAGTGATTATGCACTGTCCTTTCCATAACCTTGCTCTGTCTCTCTCTATGAAGGTGCTGATGAATTGCGGCTGTCAAATGGAACTGGCCCCTGCTCAGGGAGAGTGGAAGTAAAACATGAGGAGCAGTGGGGAACTGTGTGTGACGGTGACTGGACCATAGAAGATGCTGAGGTTGTTTGTAGGCAACTACGATGCGGATCTGCTGTTCACGCCCTTAATCGAGCTCCTTTTGGAGAAGGATCTGGACCAACATGGTTGTATCGAGTTGATTGCCGTGGTGGTGAATCCGTTCTCTGGAACTGCTCACATACAGGATGGGGTGCTTTTACTTGCCCTCATTACTTTGATACCGGAGTGATCTGCTCAGGTAAGAATATAACCTTCTATAATAGAAAAATTCTCTGAGGCTGTGATCAAATTTTGTCCTATCCACGTACTTTACTTAAGGTAACACTTTCTCCATGACCTCCGCTCAGCCACAGCAAGTTGAACCAGCATTAATTCTTCTGCCTACTACAAGCGTATGTCTCCTTTTCCTGGGCACAGCAATGACATAGAACAGAGCTAGACATAGGAAATGACACAGAGCAGAAAAAGGAACACTATTTGTTTCCACCACAGCACTCCCAGGCAACGGGAGAGCAGTACTAAACTTGTCTTTGACTAGGAATGGGGGTTAAAAAATCAGGTGTAGATGAAAAAGCAATAAAATCCGGTATTAAGCCATACAACAGCCCTTCTTCTCTAGATCTTCATGTAAGCTAAGACAGGCCATTCTGCAATGGTATATACAATATCTGTTTGTCTACCTTCCCTTGCAAGATGTGCTTGATTTTGCTCTTTGGATAAAGTACCACTGCAAGAGGTTTTTCCTTCACAGCTTCAGGACTTTACATTTGTCCTTTTTGATTTTTATAAGGTTCCTGTCAGCCCATTAATCCAGCCTGTCTAGGTCCCTCTGAATGGCAGGTCTGCCCTTGGAGTTATCTCCCCCCTACATGCTCCCCAAATTGATGAGCGCACTCCTACAGGTTGTCGGTGAAGATGCTGAACAGAAGAAAGACGCAACAAGTGGTATTCCACTTGCTGACAGCCTACAGGTAGAGTGCAACACACTAATCGCTACTCTCTGAGCCTTACCATCCCATCAGCTTTTTAATGACGTAGCTGTCCATCCACCCAGACTGTAGCATCCTAGTTCAGACACAAGCATGTTGTGCAAGACTGTCAAATGCCTTGCTAAATGGGAGGTAAATGACACACACTGGTCTCCCCTCATCCTCAAATCCAGTCATTTTTACCTAAGTAATAAGATCACACAGACATGATTTACCATGGTGACCCTTCCCTTCTTGTGCCCAGAAATGTGTTCCAGGAAGACTCACTCTACAGTTTGCCCACGTACCAAAGTGAGGCTGACCAGTCTGTAATCTCCAGTCTTTTCAGCCTTTTCTGAAGATGGGTGCAACATTTCCCGTTTCCTCTTTCTGGGGCGCTTTAGCTTCCTGTTCATTTGAATAATGAGGTCTCAAGGACACACACTAGTAAATGACTATTTATTTCTTCATTTATTTGGGGACTGCTACTTCTCAAGCGTTTGGCAAATGTACAAAACTTCCCTCCTTCTATAGCTTCCCAAGGATTCAGTATTTTAACATACTAAGAAATAAACATTCCCACAAACCATTTACTCTCTTGTCAGTGGTGTAATAAATTGCCACAATGTTAATTTAAAAGTGTCAGTGGTGCTCAGAGAAGTGACATGTGTCTTTCCTATGAAGGTGTGGGATTTCTGAAATTAGGCCAGTACAACCAATCCTTGATGCTGGATTTCTTGGGGTTTTTTTCCAGGTTTCTCTGGGCTGCGTCTGACTGGAGGGGTCACTGCGTGCTCAGGACAACTGAAAGTAAAGCAGGAAGAAACCTGGGCTACGGTCTGTTTTTCACACATTGATTTCAAAACTGCCTCTGTTATATGTAATGAGTTAGAGTGTGGCCAGGCTGTGGATATCTTGAGAGGAACTCATTTTGGAGACCAACATGAGCTGATCTGGCAAGAAGAGTTTCACTGTGCAGGTAATGAGACTCACCTCGCACACTGTCCCAGGATGCTGCACCACACTAAGATGTGCTCTCATGATGCCACTGTTGTATGTTCAGGTGAGACTTGGACGTAGTTTACATGTGTCCTACACGTCTTCTTTCTGTCAACTCATAGTTCAGAACCTCTGCATATATATGTCTGTGCTCCTCAGGTTCTTCAGTGGTTCCCCTATCACACTTGGAGCCATCCAGGGAAAATCAGGAAGTAATAGAGAGCAGCCACACAATCTCTCATTCTCTATACTGAACATCTGCATTTAACATGGGCTGGTCTAACCACTTCACTTCTGCACAAGGGATGCAGATCCCAAAAGGGCTGTAATTTCTCCCATGCTGCTAGAGGTGTGCACTCAATTCCTTCCATGAACAGAAGTGCCACAGAACAGTGCTGAGAATTCCTTCCATGTCTTTCTCATATACGTATAAGGAGAGATGGCCAGAGCAGACAAGGAGGAACATGAAGAAAACAATTTATTTTCTGTGCTGCAAGCATGTGTGCTACTCCCTGGCACTTCAGTTAATTAGAAAACTGGGAGAGTACTGTACCTCTAAAAGATCAAAGGAGGCACAAGTTACAAATTTAAGTTATTAAAAAAAAAAGTTGTCAGAGGCCTGGATTACTTTAGTTGTGACTGCCAGGTAACATTATTTAAGAACTCCATATAGTCATACATGCTAGGGGCTCTAAATACAGTTAACTTATTGTCACCCACTATGAAACTGATGGTTAGACCTAGCAAACACAATTTTTTTCCTGAGGGCACAATCAAAAGCGGTAAACTGAACATGGAGCAGAGCTGCTGGCAAGACCCTGTCACAAAACAAGCCTGGAAAGGACTGCAGTTCATGCCCGTTTCCCAGACAAATAGCTGCAGTCTGTGTCAAGACTGCCTTGGACACTGTCCCACTTGCCATGCTGATCTGCAGCGCTGGCTGGGGACCTGTGGCAGCCAAACATCCCAGTTTCAGTAACTGACAGGTCTTGGGTCCTGCTTCCATTTTGCAGGAGTCACAGGGCAGACATCAAGCCACAAAACGGGGAGTATGATGCAAGGGGCAGGCAAGGGTAAGAAGTAAAAGTGTGAGAAGACAGAAGGACTCCATGGGACTGGCAGTAGGACAGCAGAGTACTACCCATGCAACACTTCAGTTATTGCAAATACACTGATGGGCACAGCCCATTGTGTTCAGAGCTGTATGCTGTAGCACGGATGAAAGTAGAGGATTGCACACTGCAGTTACTGATCGCCTGGCAATGTGAAATGACCAGCTACTAGCTACTAGGAGAGGGAGTGCTACTGGTAGCTCCTACTCTTTCTCACATGCTCCAAATGCAAGGCAATGCTGAAACCGCCTCTGCAAGAAATCATGTTGCAGTGTAGCAGAAGTAATGGGGAGAGGGGAAGGGGGGGAAGCGAGAGCAGATCAGAGGAGAGACTGGACTTAAAGAGTGACTTTTGGTCATGCAGTGACTACAACATGGAAAATAACAACTTTTTTTCAGAGCTGGCTTATAAGCATCCTGGTCTAACATGCTTCCCAGTAACCTGATAAATAGTGAATGCTAGTTCCTTGCAGCTACATCTCTCTTACAGTTTCCAGTGAAATAGAATACACACACAAAAAAGTACCTGCTAAGTTCCTTTATTCTTCCTGCAGGCTATGGTGGGTACAGGCTGGCAAATGGCAGTACCACATGTTCAGGGAGAGTGGAGCTTCTCCATGGAGGCACCTGGGGAACCCTGTGTGACTACCACTGGAATTTACCAGCTGCCAATTCCCTCTGCCAGCAGCTGGACTGTGGAGTTGCCCTACTGATACCAGATGGACAGTCCTTCGGGAAAGGAAATGGATCTGCCTGGAATGGCACATTCAGCTGCAAGAGTAATGGCTCACACCTGAGAGACTGTCCTGTGGGTGTGCTAGGTCATGAAGAATGCCCTGCTGGAAAAGATGCTCGTGTGGTATGTTCAGGTGAGCAGCAGAAAGTTCTAAGAGAAGAACTGAAAAACTCCTACTTTGAGGAAAAACAAAGATCTAAAATTCAGAGGGTGCCTGTGGAGCCAAGCTCTGACTTTTGTCTGCTGCTACAGGCAGGAGTTGAGGCTGCACCTCACCTGCGCTGCAAGGCTGCTGTCTGTGAAACAGTCCTAGTGTCAGGGAACACAAGAACAGGGCTCTTCACAAGGGAGGATGAAGTCGAGGCAGAGGGTGAGGACAACACAGGCAGTGTCCTTACCCACTAAGACACAACCCGAAGTGTTTGCACAGAAGACAGAGGAAGGTACTGATAACAAGGTCTATGGACAGTTGCAGACAAGGCCAAGCAATCAATCGGACGTAGGGTCTGATCAGAGAGTACAGTCAGGAGCAGCAGGAGACAAGACTGGAAACAGTTACACCAGTCACATGTTCAGGCAAGGGCAGAAGGCCCAGTTCAGGTTTAAGTGAGGCCTCGGACCAGTAGCCGAAGGGTGCGTATCTGGAGAACCGAGGTCGGGCTGGTCAGAACAATTGACGTCTTTTGGTTTAGCCAGAGCACTGAACCCAGTGTCCTGCATCCAGAAGTTGCCAAGGCAACCAGATCCTGATTTCTAGTCATTCTTCTCAGTAAAATAGGGCGGACTGAGCTCTAGTTATGAGTATGGAAGTTCCAGTGGCCCAGTGGAGTCATATGAAAGGCTGCAAGAATTGGGCTTGTTCAGCCTGGAGAAGAGGAGGCTCCGAGGAGACCTCATTGCAGCCTTCCAGTACCTGAAGGGGCTACAAGGGTGCTGGGAGACTTTTTACAAGGGCCTGTAGTGACAGGACAAGGGGTAATGGGTATAAATTGAAAACGGGGAGGTTTAGATTGGATATCAGGAAGAAGTTCTTCATGGAGAGGGTGGTGAGGTACTGGAACAGGTTGCCCAGAGAAGCTGTGGATGCCCATCCCTGGAAGTGTCCAAGGCCAGGCTGGATGAGGCTTGAAGCAACCTGGTCTAGTGGAAGGGGTCCCCGCCCATGGCAGGGGGGGTGGAACTAGATGATCTTTAAGGGCCCTTCCAACCCCAACCATTCTATGATCTATGATTCTATGATTTTTACTATTGAATGCTAAGGAAAACTCACTCCTATTTCCCAGTCACATTCAGGTCATGTCCATGAGCAGACGAACGTGACGTCTCAGTACCCACTTTCTCTTATATTCAGGGTGCCCAGGGGGCAGGTTGGTGAATGGCACCACATGCTCTGGCAGAGTGGAGATCCGCCATGGAGACACATGGGGAAGCCTCTGCCACTCCCACTGGAATTTGCAAGCTGCCAGTGTTTTCTGTCATCAGCTGAACTGCGGCTACGCAAAGTCAATCCAGACAGGAGACCATTTTGTGGATGGTAATGGGCCTGTATGGAGAGATGCTTTTCACTGTGAAGGGACAGAGTCCTGCCTGTGGGACTGTGCTCAAGTGACTTTGGGCAATCCAACCTGTTCAGCCAGAGAAGCAGCCACTGTTATTTGTTCAGGTAAGTCAGGAGTGGCCTTTTATGAGTATGCAACTTCAGACCAAAGCAGCGTTGGCAATCTCACTCTGACAAGCAAGTTTGGTAGGTCAGCCCTTCTTTAATGCCCATCCCCTTCCTTTCCTTTCCCTCATCCCTCTAATCTTGGTTTCAGCATAGAAACCTCATTTATTGGAGGGATTCACTTTGTTTAGATGTGCTTGACTCCCCACAGTATATAGTCTTTGAGCTGTGAAAGTCTTTCACACTTCCCCTTGCAGACTTCCCCTTGCAGACCTCCGTATGTGTGAAAGTAAGCAAAGCCTCAGCAGAGGCTCTTTCCTTAACCAGTAGTGACAATTCTTTTTTTCTTTTTTGCAACACAGCAATTTGTCTTCCCTCTCTCTCCTGCAGTTAGAGCAGTGGATATTATTTAATACATTCTCCAACTCTCTTGAACCCAGGTCTTGTTGAATCACTCAGACTCTTAGGTGGCGAGAGCCGCTGTGATGGGCGAGTTGAGATCTCACTCCATGGCATGTGGAGCAGAGTCCTGGATGATGACTGGGACATTAAAGATGCTCACGTTGTATGCAGACAGCTCCAGTGTGGAATTGCCAAGAAAGCCTATTACCTTCCAAGGTCTGAGCGAGGTATGGGTCTTATTGGCTTAAGAAGTGTCCAGTGTGCTGGAAATGAGACTCAGCTGATGCTCTGTAAGACCTCCCATTCTCAGACAGCGGAAACAAGAGTTGCTGAAGACGTTGGTGTGGTTTGCTCAGGTGAGTTACTGTGCACAAGGTACAGAATGCTTCCTAGGGTTGCCTGCAGTCCACCTTGTGATGTTGTCTCACCAGGTCTTAAATAGGCGTGGGTCGGAGCTTGTGATACTCGCTTGCTTGTATACTCACTTGCTTGCATACGCTAATGGACAAAAGATAGTTAAGGAAGCAAGTGTATTTTACATAATGCTTTCTTCATCTGAATTTCTTACAGAATTTATCTTACAGAATGGAAGACAAATAATAGAATACAGAAGCCATAAGAACACTAATTTGGCCATGCATTCTGACTGTCCCTTGGGAATTAAATAAGTTTTATTTTGTGACATTTATATATTTATAGATTCCTGCAGCCTTTCTAAAGTAAATTAGAACTGTTTCCACTCTTCTCTTATTCTGTAATGCATCTGTAGCAGAAACTGATTCTGTATCTGTCTAACTGTAAGAGTTTAGATAGAAAACAGTTTCACTGGCTTTCTGACATGAGGTGAACTCTGCATATACATACTATGACTAGACACCCTTTCTTGTTTGCAACATCTCACAGTAATTATTCAAACATTTACCTGATGCAGGAGCAGGCCTTTCCCTTTATGTTGTTTTAGCATTATAGGGCTTTTGCCCAAGAAACCATAACAGGAGAGCTGGACTATAACAGGCACTTGATGCCTTAAAAGTGCTTTAACACAAGCCATTACACTTACCTGTGCACAATCATTATGTTGCATGTTGACAGCTGTGTTTTCCTCCCACAGGTAGCAGACACATCAGGCTGGTGAATGGAACAAAGCGCTGTGCTGGGAGAGTAGAGCTTTATCATGATGGCATCTGGGGCACCATCTGTGATGATAACTGGGATCTATCAGATGCTAATGTTGTTTGCAAACAGCTGGGATGTGGACATGCCATCAAGGCACTTCTCTCCGCTCATTATGGTGAAGGCTCGGGACAGATCTGGCTGGATGATGTGAACTGCACTGGGGCTGAATCTGATCTCTGGACATGTCCCTCTAGGACATGGGGCCAGCACAACTGCCAACACAAAGAGGATGCTGGAGTCCTGTGCTCAGGTGTGTTTGGAAAATCCTTTTTCTGAGTCTGTGGGTTGAGAAGGGAGGGTTACATGAAGAAGCAGAGAATAGTGGAGACTTGCTTGGACACTCTCTTGCTGTCTTGACTACAAGCATGGTTAGCACATCCCTTTGGTCCCAGCGAGATGCAAAGTGTCTACAGAAGTCCTTATTTTGTGTTAATACACACACTCACATAAAGTGTGTGGTGGGGTGGGATATTTGGGGGGTAAATTGGAGGGTTTTCATAAAGATTTCTACAGCAAGGGGCTGTGGGTGTTCCTTGTGCAGGAGGAGGTCATCAGCTGTCATGTGCCTCTTACAGTCAGTTACAACTGGCTCTGAAACCAATGGAAACAACCCACTGTGCACCAAAGCATCAACTAATCAGAGGAGCATATTGCGGCTCTGCTTAAGCATATTTGAGACAGTGGCAGTGACAGCTGCAAGAGAGAGGAGAAATGAAGGAGATGTGGAAAAAACACTACTGGGGACACGGTTGGAGACACCATGTCTCCATTCCATGGAGACCAATGAACACCATGTTTCAGTTCCAGAGGAGGTATGCCTCTGAGAGGGCTGTGGCCTGTGGATAAGCCACACTGGAACAGATATACTTCTGAAGGCACTGCAGATTGTGGAGGACCCACACTGGAGCAGGTACTTCAGGGACTGCAGCCTTTGGTGAGCTCACAATGGACCAAATACAACACCTGAAGGGACTGCAGCCTGTGGAGCATCCATGCTGGAGCAGAGGAAATTAATCATGCTGATCCTAGAAAGAAAATACCCCTCTGAAAGGACTGGGAAGAAGGGGATAATCAACAGCAGTTTCCTGGACTGCTGGAGTGTGGTTACAGGCAAAGGGAGAGGGACACTGAAAAGTTTGTGCTCACTAACGTTAGGGTTGAAATCTCGAACGGCTAGGCATAGTTACTAATGTCTACTTGGTACCACCTGGTAGGATGCCCTGTTGATCAAGGGGTGACATCCCTTCCGGAGTGAGGAAGCCAGGAGTGCAAGCTTAGCAATGTGGATGAGAATTATACCAGAGATCCAATAGTATGCTTAGCCTCAGGAAAACATGAAGAGACAATGAGAATTCTGCATGTGCCCCTCTTACACACTGAGACTTAAGGATGTATCTGAAAGGAAAAGGAGACAATGTAAGAGACGGGGAGGAAAAGCCCTTCATAGACCTAGAACTGTGAGCACAGGAGGGGGTGAGAGCTTATTTAAACCATTCCTTTCTGCTACTCCCACTTCTGGACCACTGTCTGACAACTGATTTTAAATTACTGCATCAGGGGGGTTGTCCACTGGCCTGGCAGTGGATGAAGTTAACCAAAGTTAAAAGACTGTCCAGATAAGGCAGCCAGGCACCTTGCCTCAACAAAATTGTGCGCTAGTCAATACCTGATAATAACGGTGCTCAGTGCAACTTCTTGTCCCCTCTGTGTAGCAGTGATAAACAAATAGTTCTGGGAGTAAAGAGAGGAGAAAGATGAAATGCTCTTCTCCTAGGTCATTTGCTAGTGAAAACTGATGGTTTAAAATAGATATCAGAGCTCTGCATGCAGTCACACCCCCATTAGCTGTTACAGTTCCAGACAAGTTGCAGCACTTGTACAAGCTACAAGCTAAAGAATATACCGAGTAGGCTATAACTGATATTGCTTTCTTTGTTATTTTAATTACACTGGCCAAAGAAGTAAGACCTCAGTTTGCCTTCACCTGGAGTGGGTGCAGTACATCTGGTACCAGCTGTCTCAAGGGTGGAAACACAGCCCTTGCTATCTGCCATGGCATCATCCACCAAAATTTAAAACAACAGAATTCCAAAGTACTTTCCTTTACCTGATAATGCATTGATTGGAGGAACAACTCCGAAAGTACCAAGTAAAGGACTTGAGGTAATTATTACTTTTCTCAGTGCTGTATTTTGCATTAAACACTCCGAAGTAAAAAGGTCCCCTGGAGATATACAGGTTTTAGGCCTGCAAAATGCATGCAGATACATGGCAGATCACCAAATTGCTTGGATAGGTATCATGGACCTCCACACAATAAACAAAAGCCTGGGCTTTCTTGGGAGTTACTGGATTTTGTATTCACATCCCTGGTGACAGCCAACTGACCAAACCCACATATTAAGTGACATGAAATAAGCATTTTTCTGAGTGGGAAGAGGAACACCAACAAGCTTTGGAGCTGATCAGCAGAAGACAGTCCATACCATGGCATTAGGACCAATATGGGTAGGTAGCAATGTAAAATAGTGTTCTATACACATGCAGGAAAGAAAAGCATCATCTGGAGTTTGTGGCACTGAGCATCTCAAGAGATGAGAGACACTATTGGCATTCTGGTGTCTGAGCTACAAACTACTTGAAATAACTACTGCCCTCTAGAGCAAGAAGTCTTAGCTGCACATTGAGGGCCAGTGACGTGGGTGCAGAGCAGTCACTGTGGTTATGCCTTAGACTACCTGTCCTGAATTTTAGGTTCAAGGATTCAAAACCACTGCGGGAAGAGCAAACACAACTACAAGGCAAAAATGGCTACTGGCCATACTGGTTCAGGCTCCAAACCAGGATTAGTTGAATTTACTAAGTCAATGGCCGGCAATCAATAGTATGAGGAAGACCAAACATCTTTGGCTGTTGAAGCCCTAGCATATGATGAATTAAGTGCTGCCAATAAACAGCAGATTTTGTTTACTGATGGATTCTGTAAAAGCAGAACAGGAAACAGGAGGTGGAAATCCTTGGAACCCCTCTACAGGAGAAGCTGCCATCTGGAAGGAGACTTGAAGTTTGAAAGGCCTTGCAACAAACTCAGAAGCATCAAGAGACCCACATATACAGACAATGAATAATGTGGTAAGGAAATGCCTTGAAAAATGAAATTGTGATAACTGGCAGCATTGAGGAAAACCATTTCGAGCAGATGAAGTACGTAAAGTAGTACGAGACTTGCTTGAAGAAAGACCTGCTTAGTATGTGATGCTAATAATGCACACATCCCAGAGTCAAAGGCAACTCAAGAAGAGAAACGCAGCAATCAAGCTGACCAGCTGGCTCAACCTGTCAGTAGAGATTTGGGGTATAATGCAAGCAGTTAGGCAGTCTGTGGAATAACATACAACATGAATAATGAAACAGTATGCACAGTGAGAAAAATGAATGTTTGGAAGTGCCTGGCAAGTGGATTATATAAACCATCCCCTTCCTCCCCAGCAACACTGGCAGATGCTACGATCTCCTAGTGGTAGAACATCACAAGGGAATCTAGATGTTTTCACCACTCCAACTGCCAACACAGATAGCACCCTAGAAGGATTAAACATATCTATTGGCACCATGGAATGCCACTTAGGCGGGAAGCAGACAACATAAGTCACTACAAAAATAAAACCATTCAAGAATGAGTAGAGTGGACACATTGCCAGGTAGCTGGAAAAGTAGAGCTGTGCAATGCTTTACCTAAACCCTTGCAGCCCAAAAGAAAACCTGAGCTCATTTAGGTGGGTGATAAAGTGCCAGCCAGCCCTGAGGATGCATGGATTGGGAAGCCTGCAACAGTTGAAACCCCTAAGAAAGTGGCCTCTATTATTTAAAGACCAGGGTTTACTTACTGGTTGGTCTTTGGAAAAAGAGCAATGAAATGTGTGCTTTTACTTAAATAGAAGAGACTAATCTTACTGTACCTCATAAACTATGTTCTTGTTCATGTGTTTTTAAGGGACTATGTCTGAATCTTGTAATAAATACATGTTAAGATTGGTATGATGTTAAATTCTATAATGTGGTTCCCAGAATGAGAGGTTAGCATTTTATTGACTATATGTGCATATTGTTACAATGTCAATACCTATTGTCTGGGACTAAGGGTAGAGTTTATAATGCATGTATTTTATGACCATGATGATTGTAAATTAGAGTTTATAAAGAATGTATGTTCAAATACTTCTTAAATAAGTGTTTCACAGAGGTGAGGGGTGAAATGTCCTGTCTACAACTGGCAGGATTTCAGTCACCAGAGGCTGCAGGGGTGCCATGTGCTTCTGCAGGGGAGCCATTCCAGCTGGCTTTGAAATTATTGTGAACAAGTCATTGCACACCAAAACTTCAACAAGTCAAAGGCACCTACATGGCACCTACACTTCAACATACCCAAGAAATATCCCTACATCTGTGGGGGGTAGCTATCCCTGTTGTTTGTTGATGTAGATGCTGGTGAATGCTGCCTAACCAGAGATGATCTTTTTATGACCTCCGGTTTTAAGTGTCTGTCACTCTTAGAGTGGTTTCCTCTGGCAGTTTCTCAGAGTGATGAACAGCATTGTTAGCAGATTCTTGATTTCAATTAGCCCAGCCAAGTTCTTAGCAGAATCAGGCCCCTCTAATTCCAATTTTGTCTTCACTTCTAGAGTTCCTGGCTCTGAGGCTGGTGAATGGCAACGAGTGTGCTGGGCGGCTAGAAGTTTTCTACAATGGGACATGGGGAAGCGTTTGCTCCAATCGTATGTCTCAACTCACTGCAATAACTGTCTGCAAACATCTGAACTGTGGAGATGGTGGGGAAATTGCAAGCGACTTCAAATACGGAAGAGGTTCCGGGCCCACGTGGCTGGACCACATTGAGTGTACTGAGCAGCATAGCTCTCTTTGGCAGTGTCATTCAGATCCCTGGAATCCTCAGTCATGTGATAACCGAGCAGAAGAGACCCATATTTCTTGCACTGGTAATTAGAAATGCATTTGTACAGGACTGCCCAGACGTATACACAAACATATGCATGCATATATAGTAATCAGCTCATGTTTGTTTGTTATCTGGTTTACATTATTTCTAGTTCCATGCAAATGACACAAACATTTCTCTGAAATGAGTGAAAATTACATGAGTGTCAGCGAGTGCAGCTACCCAGAAATACCAAGGTAGTCCCTGATAGGATGGTTCCATTGCCTAATTTGAAAGCAAAAATCTATGGTACGCAGTCAGTCTGTGAGATCTGAGTTAGGGTAAGTTTTCTTAAGAAGTCTGGAGGCAGGTAGGTGTTTGTCCATGTATGAAGGCAAATCAGTGCATATATACATGTACACACATGCATGCACATAGCCATGAACAGTTCAGTTCCAACGCCTGCTCTTACGACAGTAATTCATACCTGTGGGTTCCCACTATAATATAAATGAATTCTAGATGACATTCAGATCTCCTGAAATGGATTGCAGCTGTCTCCTACAAGAAGAAAGGGAGCAGAGTCATCTGGAAGATTATTCAATTCACAGTAATAGCCAAACAGTGATCCTCCAAGTACTAAATAGGCCACATGTATATTTTAGGAAATAACTTGAAGATTAATTTTCAGGCATTTTATACTCCCTAGCTCTATTCAGAGAATATTCAGATTATTTACTTCAGTATTTAAACTCTGCAGGAAGAAAAGAGGCAACATCTCCAGCCATGTTTGCTGAGTGTCCAAACTCTACAAGTTGTTCAGGTACCTCTACCTCTTTGTTTCTCCTCAGTGATCCCTACAGACCTTCCTGCTGTTTCAGCAATACAGAAGGTTTCTGTCTTTTGCAGACAGGGAGAAGTTACGAGTCATAGGAGGAGCGGACGGATGTTCAGGCAGAGTGGAGATTTGGCACCAAGGCTCCTGGGGAACAGTCTGTGATGATTCCTGGGACATGGCAGATGCTAATGTTGTATGCAGTCAGCTGGGTTGTGGACTTGCTGTGTCTGCTCTGAGTGAAGCTGCCTTTGGGGAAGGGACTGGTCCCATCTGGTTGGAGAAGGTGCACTGTAAAGGAACTGAGATGTCTCTTTGGGACTGTCCTGCCAAGCTCTTGTTCAGCAAAAACTGTGACCATAAGGAAGATGCTGCTGTACATTGCTCTGGTTAGTGACTGGTACTTTGGCTCATTACACAGATCTGGGAAGGAGGTGGATAGAGGAACATTATGTCAGCTGTGCATCCCAGTGACTAGCCCCTTCGTAATTTTGACTGCAGGAACCTCATGAATGATGTGGAGATATTCTCTCTATTTTTCACAGTTGCCTTTTCCTTAATCTGGACTCACCTTCCTTTTGCAGGTCTGACAGAAACAACAACATCACCCACTAGAGCAGGTAAAGCATACCTTCTTTCCCCTTTCTTTCTTCCATCGAATGAGGATGTAATGTCCCTGGTACTGCAGAGCAGGTAAATCAGCAGTCTAGTCCAGCTCATCAGAAGGCATCTCCCATGGCCTTTTGTAAAGGAGAGACAAGTGGCACTATCCCCAGCTGCTGAATTCTAGCTGCTTGAACATGACCCATAGCCGGGCAGCAGGTGACCTGCCTCACCCTGCTAACATGGGCACAGCGGGAGGTTACAGAGGAGCAGCCCTTTGTACCACCTGATTCTCTCCGTCTGTTGCTTCTTCATTTCCACTCAGATCCTGCCTACCGCCCTGCAACAGACAGTATGAGAATGTCAGTGCCTGTCATCCTCTGCATTATCCTGGGGGCCCTTCTCTGCCTGGTCCTTGCCATTCTTGCTGGACAGATCCGAAGTGCCAGGGCACAGCAGAGAGGTGGGTCTCTCAGGACTGGTATGAAATGCCTCCTTGACAAGGCTGGCAAGTGTTGGGTTGGCTGGGGAGGCTGGGGAGTGGGTGATTGAGATGAATGGCATCTGCTGCCACACTGAGATTTATACTTACCATCTGGAAATGAAAAAGCCCAGCAGTGCTTAACCTCAGTCAGCACCTCTCGGTCACTTTCTGGGTACCAACCAGACCATGTAGACCCCTTTAGGTCACTTCTTTTCATGACTCCAGCCTGAGTATGAGCAGAGACTTCGTGAGTGATCATTGCCTTTTACTTCCAGGCTCCAGACTATCCTATGACCCCTTCTCTGAGGCTGTCTATGAAGAGATTGACTATAACCTGATGAGAGAAAAGCAGGGCATGACCGGCTTCTCAGGTCTGTGTGTCTTTGTTTTGTTAAACCACAATACAAGGGAAAATAACTGAGGCTAATTCCTCCTGGTGGGCAGATCCCAATCTCATAATTTTCAGCTCCCAAATCTGCCAAGAAACAGAAAATTCCTGGATTTAAGAAAGGGGTTCTCTGCCCACTGAACTCTGCCAATTTACTTTGCAGAAGTAATACTGACTGCCCAAGAATCAGCTTGACTTGGGTGATATTACTGTAGCCTTATTCCTTTCCTCATGATGCAGTCTTAGCAACTAAGAAGAGTTTAATCTGATGTCACACTCTCTCATTTGCCTAGATTCTTACTCAGAGAGTTCAAAAACAAAGGCACAGTTTTATAGTGGAGACAACGATGAAGAAAACCATCCTAGAACGACTCAAGGTAATGGGCAGACGAGAATCCTCCAAAGAAAGAGACCCAAAATCAGGGTAGCTTTTTATTTCCAAAGCATTATTGGTGATTGAAATATCTTCTTGCTGCACTTCATGTACACTAGTGATGTTCTGATGTGAACGAAAAATTTCTGTTTAACTCTTGTGGTGGAAAAATGTCATACAATCTTGTACCTAAGTGCTATAGAGTTCTCTTCTATATGAGAAGTTGAAAACAAATGTTTGCTGGTAGTATTGCGCTCTTCACAGGATCCAGTCACATGAATCCAACAATTTGACAACTGCCTCTCCTAGAAATTGCAGCTGGAACAGCTTGTAAATTGTTGCTTCACTTCTGAGATAAATGGGGAGAATTAAGACAGGGAAAAATGTGCTCCGAAGTAGAATATAGGCATACCATTGCAATTGATTAACAAGTTTTAATCCAAGTGATCTGAAGAAAATGCAGTTTGCCAGATGTGTTTGTTGGTTTTGTTTTGTTTTGTTTTGTTTTTTTTTCTTTTTAATTTGAAAAAGCTGAAGGAGAGCAAGTGTTTGGAGAAGAATTGCATTTTCCTAGAGCTGATCAAAAAATTCTCTTAGCTATTGCCTGGTCTCAGAGAGAGCAACTGCCAAAGGCACAAGCCATTTTGGCCCTCAGCTGCCCACATCTCTGACCCTCTGCTGTGCTATGCTTTTATCTTTATTTTTAGTTCTTTTTCGTATGTTAAGGGGGTTTTTTTTATTCTTTAAACTAAAACTTTTCTTTTCCTTACTTGCTTTAAAATGCTTATCCAAAAGACAAATATTCCAAGTAAGATTTCTTTTTCTTATTCAGATTGCATGTTGTGTACTAGCTAAAAACTGAAAAACTGAGTGACTTGACTGACACTTAATTTTATATATGTATTATTGGTATGTCCATGTGTGCAAGTATATACTATAAAATGGTGAAAAATAATATTATTTGAGGGATGGCTTCTAGTTAAGTACAGAGCACATAGCTAGCTGCCCCTGAGGAATCAGACAGCTAGCTACTCACAGAACTGAGTTTGATGGATGGACTACTCAATGGATAAGGAATTGGCTGGATGGTTGCATCCAAAGAGTTGGGACCAGTACTGTTCAATATCAATATTAATAATATAGGTGGTGCACTAAGTGCACCCTCAGCAAGTTTGCAGATGATACCAAGCTGCGTGGTGCGGTTGATACGTGTGAGGAAGGTATGCCATCCAGAGGGATCTTAAGAGGTTTGAGAAATGGGCAAATATGTACCTCACCTCATGAAGTGCAAGGTCCTGCACCTGGTGGTCAGGGCAATCCCCAGGATCAGTACAGACTGCTGGATGAATGGATTGAGAGCAGCAGTAAGATTTCTTTTTCTTATTCAGATTGCATGTTGTGTACTAGCTAAAAACTGAAAAACTGAGTGACTTGACTGACACTTAATTTTATATATGTATTATTGGTATGTCCATGTGTGCAAGTATATACTATAAAATGGTGAAAAATAATATTATTTGAGGGATGGCTTCTAGTTAAGTACAGAGCACATAGCTAGCTGCCCCTGAGGAATCAGACAGCTAGCTACTCACAGAACTGAGTTTGATGGATGGACTACTCAATGGATAAGGAATTGGCTGGATGGTTGCATCCAAAGAGTTGGGACCAGTACTGTTCAATATCAATATTAATAATATAGGTGGTGCACTAAGTGCACCCTCAGCAAGTTTGCAGATGATACCAAGCTGCGTGGTGCGGTTGATACGTGTGAGGAAGGTATGCCATCCAGAGGGATCTTAAGAGGTTTGAGAAATGGGCAAATATGTACCTCACCTCATGAAGTGCAAGGTCCTGCACCTGGTGGTCAGGGCAATCCCCAGGATCAGTACAGACTGCTGGATGAATGGATTGAGAGCAGCCCTGAGGAGAAGGACCTGGGGATACCGATGGGTGACAAATTGGACATGAGCCAGCAATGTGCATTCACAGCCCAGAAAGCCAATCTGGGTCCTGGGCTGCATAAATTGAAGCTCAGGCAGCAGGTCAATGGAGCCAATTCTGCCTCTCTACTCTGCTCTCATGAGACCCGACCTGGAATACTGCATCCAGCTGTGGAGCCCCCCAGTACAGTAAAGACATGGACCTGTTAGTATAGGTCCAGAGGAGGGACACAAAAATTATCGGAGGGATGGAACACCTCTCCTATGATGAAAGGCTGAGAGTGTTGGGTTGTTGAGCCTGGAGAAGAGAAGCAGAATGGCAGATACTTTTCTCCATAGGTCTGGCCTAAATTTGTAGCCACATGTCCAACCATAGGCAAACAGCCAAGGGTGGCTACTTAGCTAGACCATTTCAGAGAAATTTAACAGAAGGTTTTAAAAGTAATGAAAAGACAAGGAGAGAGATGCTACACAGAGATAAACAAGGAGTAGTTTGTCATTGTGCAATTATGAAATGCAATGGGGAACCCTACTCTGAAATAAAACCTGTAACTAAATGCCTCCTTCTCCAGATCTTCTTCCCCCTTCTGACCCTCTTCCAGGTTGACTTTCTCTTTCTACGTGTTACAGCAACTTATAACAATTATTGGAGCTATATCATTGTTGTCTGGAATACCTTTGAGTGTGGTTTATTATGTTCCATTATCATCATGATAATGTCAGTATTACAGACCCTTATCACTGGATCATCAGCTATTGCTTTCTCTAGTGGAAGATCTTTCCCTGTTACAGCTAATACCTGTACTGTTCCAGAGGTCTCTCCACTGCCTGGAAATGTCGTGGAAGATGGTTATGATGATGTGACAGAACCTCCTGGACCTAAAGATGCTTCTCTTTCTGGGCAGAATGAACAGGAAATCATTGGTATCCCTGAAGAAAACGACAGAAACAAGGATTCTTGGAAAGGTGAGGCCAGAAGAGCAGTGCTGTTATTTTTCATCATCTACAGTTAGTATACTGAACCCAGGGAAAATCAAGGTGGAGGGTACCTCAAGGGATCGCTTAGGTTTTATCTAACCAAAGTCAGGAAGGAACACTACCTACCTACAGGAAGAGTGTAGGTCAGATGTTTGTTATTCTGTTCTTACAACCATTCAGTAGCAGTATTTCCACAACCTCTGCAGGTAATCTATACGAACTATAAAATTCTTGCCTGTGGCCCAATCTAAGTCTTCACTGCTGCAAATTAAAATTGTTACTTATTACAATGACCATGGGGATAGAGGAGTTGCATTCATCTTTGTAACAGCCTTTTAAGTACCTGAAGACTGCTAACATATCCCCCCTCAGTTCTGGTTTTGTATTTTGTTTCTCTAGACTACCGGCACCTAAATAAGTCAATTTTCTACTTAGGTCTCATTTACTAGATCTCTCCTCATTCTGAATGTCTCCACTCAGGCTGTGTCAGTAGGTCCATATCTTTCAATAAATGTTTCAAAACCAATACGTTACAGTATTTCTGTGCAGCATGGTACTAAGACTTCACCTGTGCCAGCCAAAGCAGAAGGACCACTTCATATGTCTTGGAGGATATCCTTCTGTTTATGCACACTAGTGTGATGTTTCCCCTTTTTGCAACAGCATGGCACTCCTGACAGTGTTCCGTGTCTGGCCTGATGCAACTGAGAGCAATCCTGCTCCATAAAATACTACATGCCATCAGATACCAATCTTCCTAATTATGTAGCTGATGGTTTCTGCCCTCATCTGTAGTCTTGTGAGTGTTTCTAGATTCCATTCTGTGTTTGTAAAAACTTTGCCAGGATCATTTGGATTATAGTATAGTATGGTATCATCTGGAAAACATAGTAAGAACATGTGTCTTTTATCTTGGGACTTAAATACTTAAATACTTAAAAATACTTCATTGTATTTAGAGTTGGCAAAAAGTCTTACCAGGTACAGTGGTACACTAAGCGTACAATATTTTATGGAAATTGTACCCAATCTAGAGTTGTTTTAGTTAGCCATATTTCTGTAGCTTACTTAGTATCATGTCAGTTGAGTGACAATTTGCTTTACTCCCTTATAAAAGCACTTTTAGATAATCAAAATGAAAAATCAGGTTATCTGGTGTGATTTATTTTTGATGAAACCACGTTACCTGTTATCTACCTGCTTTTTTTCTTCTGCCTTCTTACAAGAGTTTATTTGTTCTCATAACTCTCTGAAGCTGAACTTCCTGTAACTCCTAATCTTGTTTCTTCACACACACCATCTTAAAAATAAGCATATGTTGTTCATGTTTTCCCAGTCCTTCAGAGCTTGTTCTCTGTGACTTCTTAAAGACAGTGGATAGGGCCTGGAAGATGGAATCAGCTAGATTTTTATCCTAGCATTATATTTTGTCAAACTCATTCAAAGAGTATTAACAACAACAACAAAAATATTTAACATAGAATTTTCTTTCTCTGTGCACTTAAGATAACTGTAACACCTTCTGATCAGCAGCTGATCTCCACCTTTTGGAGTAGTCATAAATATATTTGACAAACTGAAGACGCAAAAAAGTATTCAAAATAGTTTAGGACTCAAAATTATTAAAGAAACTTCGTAGGTTTTTTTTTTTTAACATCCCATGATTATATTCATTTTAACACAATGAAAAGCTGAACAGGAACCAGCAATGTGCACTGGCAGCCCAGAAAGCCAAGCGTATCCTGGGCTGCATCAAAAGAACTGTGACCAGCCATTCAAGGGAAGTGATTCTACCTCCCTACCACTCTGGTTGTGTTTCTCTTCCTGAGTTGCCTTTGAATTTAGGATATATGCATTATTAGCATATCATATTCTATGATTACGTATAAAGCTATATACATGTCTACCTTACCTATATGGATTTCCAGTGTCTTTGTGAACCTCACTTGCTGTTGACTTCATAAAAAGCTGCTCCATTGTACTGACAAACTTTGCTATTTGCAAAAACTGTTTATAGGTAAGGTATATTCATCTCTCTCATCTGTTGTTTCTCTTCTAAAAATTAGAAGATACTACAGGTCGCTAAATCTGGTAATCTGATAGAGGTTCCATGTCCCTGTGTCCAATCAGAAGTGAGGCTGAGCATGTGCGGGCATGCACACATAAATGCATACATGCAGGTGCACAAATCTGGTTTGTAGAGCCAACACAAACAGAAAACATACCACTGAAACACAAACCACACCAATAGCCTCACCCTGTTCCCCTCTCTGGCTGACCAGGACGAAAGCCAAAACATACAAATCCCTCCAGTAGTTGGCCTTAGACAGTCTATCCTGTCCGTATTAACCCTGCAGGCCCACAGACCCACTCCAGTTTCGGGTAATTAGTTCTACACACACGCACACACAAACACTGTACTTGCACCAGTAACTGGCGGTCTATCCAGTAACTAGTCCTGGAACCTCCCGGCTCTCCAGTTACTCCACAGGCACACTAACATCAACATATATGCACAACACATCCCCCAGTAACTGGGCTTAGATGTGCAGTCTACCAAGTACCTAGCCCCTGGATCCCTGACCTCCCCCAGTTGCTGGTGTCTGGGCACATGACCGCCCAACACGCAGAGTCCCACCCCAGTCGGTGTACTTATGAGGTCTAGCAACTCTGGTGTCTCCAGCTGTTGGCACCACAGACACACAGACCCATGGCCCAGCTCTGGCTGCTGGCACTTAGACCTCCCTACATACACACACACACAGAATGGAGTGCCCCCTTACTCAGGAAAACAGTTAGAAATGGAGTTTAATAAGAAAATAGGACAGATGCCACTGCCCACAGGCATGGCACGGCCAAACATGCATATTGGCCAGCAACCTGTTTGCAGGCCACCACACCTTTTATCCCCTTATCATTCTGTTTTCTCATGTCTGTTCCTCCCCAAACTACACTGATTCCTCCTTCTCTGTGCTTCTATTTCCTCCCCTAAGCCCGTAGTAAGTTTTCTATGATCGCCAGATGCTCTTCCCCTGTATCTCATAGCAAGTCTCGTACCTCTGTGGGCAGCAACACCCCTCTGTCAGCGAGGTGGGTTACATCCCCTTTCAAACACAGACCATGGACTGAGGACTCCCCTGTGATAGCTCTGGGAGGAGCCAGGTCAGGGCACACTTGTGGGATGGACAAGGACAGATCCATTACATTTTCTGTGTGTAACACAACACTCGAAGCAGTAAAACGGAGTTGGGTTATTCAGGAATATTGAATAATTGCCTTTATTAAAAGCATTTGAAGCTAGATCAGTAACCGGTCTTCTGGGAAGAGTAGACTTGATCCTTTGATACGTGTACGTGTAGCAGGAGGCTGGATGAGACAAGAATTTCTCATTCCCCGGTCCTAATTTCTGTGGAACACAATGGACAGCCCATGCTGCCAGCCGCACAAGCATGTAACAGTAATACATACAGGACGCGCATTTATCTCGTGTTTTTCCCTTCAGATCGGAGTCCTAAAGTGTCAAGAAATGGGGCCACCGAGGCTGAGAGAGAATCACCCCCTGCTCTTGAAGATACAGCCTACGATGACATTGAAGAGCTGGGGCATTGATAGAGACTACTGAGCTGTACTGACCACTTTTGGGAATACACGTCTGTTCACGAAATTCTGACCGGGTACTAGCAGAATCAGAACAACCTGCATGTAGGATTAGTTTACCTGAGTTTGGTTTATTTACATAGAAGAGATTACATGTTTAGAAGTACAAGCATGACTGTTAAGAAAATCTTTCTAATTTCCCTTATAATTTCTCATTGCCAAAACTGCCTGGACAGTTTTTGGGTTTTTATTTCTAAATATTTTCATTGTCTTTTTTTTCTACTGAGTTAATTTTTCAGCTTACGGCATTTTCTTTTTAGAAGGTGTTTCAAGATCTCTTCTCAAATTTATGTTTCTCCTCCCAGGTACACTGGGCATCTTTCTTGAGATTGTTAGGAACGTTGCCTATGTGTAAGTTGCTAGAAATCCGTGCTCCGTGACCCCAGGTACAACCAGTAGTGAGACTGAGCGTGTATTCCCAGCAGGCACAAACACATACACACAACACAGATCAACACTGTCAGACACACTTGGTATTCACACAAGCGCAGAGTTAACAGCCTCATCCTACCCCTGCTCCGGCTGTTCTGAATGAATATCCACTAGATACAACATGGATTCCCCCCACAGATGGGCTAAGACACCCAGTCTACCGAGTAGCTGGCTACTGGATCCCGGTCTCTCCAGTTGCTGGCACTTGTTCATCGAATCCCCTGGGACCACAGCCCCGCTCCAGCTGCCGTTACAGACCTCCTAACTCACAGACATACGCTGACACAGACACAGGCTCATAATTCCCAGCAGTTGGCTGGGACTGCCCTGGTCCCTCTGGTAGCCAACTCCTTCTGTGCCCTTGCCCTCTGAGACATACAGACGTGCACACGCAGAGCTTACTGCGACTCCCCTAGCCCCTGTGGAAGCCAAGTCATGTTTACATATGACCAGCCTGTGGCGGTGCGTTTCTTCCCCTCTCAGCTCGTGGACCGCTCTACGGCCTTAGAGATTATTGTCAAACCTTAGCCATTGCGCAGGGGGTCTGGTGACTAATTGTCCCTCGATTATATCAAGCATTCTTGCACTGCTAAGGTGGGGAACAGTACTGGCCATACTAGAGTTCAGTTGCCTCCTTACAGTGAGGCATGAGAGTGAAACAACTGTCATCCCTGACAGCCCTGAACCTTTTCATAAGCCAGGAAGATTGGTACCAGCATTACTGAAAATCTGAGAGTTCCAGTGTTTGCCTGTCTGGGTCATGGCCAGGATGGAAATGCACTTATGCCTAAAGTCAATCCTCTTGTAAATCCACAGATAGCAGTTCCGAGGATGAGCCTTTGAGCTCCCCTTGACCGTAGCAGACTGTGCCCAGCATCTCCCTCTGAGTGGGACACCTCTCAGAGTTCACAAACTCTCCAGTTTGTGAGATCAGAGAACAGTCAGCGCAAGCTGGGCTGAAAATCTCCTTGAGGCTCATCTTTCTGACTGTTGAGAGATGCACTATTTTCACCAAACTCAAGAAATTTTAACAGATACCTTTGTATACCTACCTCTCAGTATTTGTCTGTGTGAGTGTGTGCATACAACTTTATGTCGACAGCTTTGTTAAGTCTTGAAGTTACTGCACTGATTCAGTGAGAGTGAAATTTTGCTGGGCAATTATATAATGTAATGGTGTGATATATCTGAATAGTGCTAATGAACTCTGAATTGCTGCTATTCCAGATTGCTGTTATCCCATGGTTTTGCACAAAGCACAAAGCCGGACACAGTGATACCTTTTCCTAATTCCTTAGACATAAACCTTTAAGCAGGTCTGGGACTAGGAGTGGATTCAGCCAGCCCTAGACTTCCATTTTCAGGAGTTTAGAAAGCAAAGGGGTCCACTCTGAACCTCGTGACTCATTCCAGCTGGTCGCTATCCTTCTGATGTTGAGGGCCTCACAGCTGGATGCGGCACTCCAGGTGGGGTCTCACCAGAGCAGAGTCCAGGGGCAGAATCACCTCCCTCAACCTGCTGGCCACGCTGCTCCGGATACAGCCCAGGATACGGTTGGCTTTCTGGGCTGCCAGCGCACACGGCCGGCTCATGTTCAGTTTTTCATCCCCCAGTACCCCAAGTCCTTCCCCTCGGAGCTGCTCTCTATCCACTCTCCACCCAGCCTGTACTTGTGCTTGGGATTGCCCCACCCCAGGTGCAGGACCTTGCACTTGGCCTTGTTGGACTCCATGAGGTTGGCAGTGGCCCACCTCTCCAGCCTGTCCAGGTCCCTCTGGATGCCATCCCTTCCCTCCAGCAGGTCGACATTCCCCACCAGCCCCTCCCTGTTGGTGAGAACAAGGTGCAGCATGGCACCCCTCCTCATCGGCTCCTCTATCCCTTGGAGAAGGAAGTTGTTATCAATGCATAATATGTAATATAAGCAGTAATTCTAAGACAGCTGGGTTTCACCAAGGGAGTGAAGAATTGAATAGAAAAAGTCACGTGGATGAAATTCCTAGAAGCACTCAAAATCGTTTAGAAAATACATATTGATTATAGCTGTTAATAATTTTAGCCCATCCTTACAATGTCATTTCAGAACTACATGTGAAACAGCACATTTCCTTTCCAAGGGTAGCTCTATAATGATCAATCAATACAGTTTCATAGATGAAACATTAAATATAAAGACAACTAA